CCTCTATGCCCTGTTTGTATTTCACATACATTGCTTGATCTCTTTGCAATCTCCTTGCCAACGATTTCAAACGCTGTTCTGCACTCCACTTGTTATCAGGCAAGTTAGGTGGTCTCCTTCTGAAGGGCACCGGTAGTTGGAAATGTGCACCTTCCCGCTGGATGTCCCTCTCCCATATTTCCATTACCTTCTTGTCATTGACTGACATTGCCTTGTCTTTCTTAAGCACATCTGTAGCTTCGATCTTCCAGAATTGGCTGACTTGTTCCTCCAGTCTATCATTACTGTCAATGAAGCTGGATGTAGCTTTGGGTACACCATCTGAACTGGAACCTACAGGTCCACTCACTGACCAACCCAATTTGGTCCTAACAGCATAAGGGCCATGCTGTCCTCGTCTCACCTCGATAGGTATCAAGGCTTCAGGTGAATCCTGCCCTATCAACAGTCCAACTTCATGTCGTTCAATGATCGGGAGGTTGATTCCTTCTAAGTGATGATATCCTGAAATGTCATCCACATTGGCAATGTGTGTGTCTCTGATATTAATGGCGTCTCTGGTATACACACAGGGTAGCTTCACACAGTCTGTATCTGGTCCCGTGTCTGCAATCAGACTAATCACTGAGGTCTCTATGGGGCTATTACGCTTCTCCAGTGTTGTCAGGCTTAAACTTTGCTTCCTTCCAGTAGCATTGAGTTCTCTGGCCAAAGTGGCTGTACAAAATGTACTGGTTGAACCAGAATCCAACAGTGCATATGTATTCACAAATACATTCTCTCCTTGAGCTCTAACCCTCACTGGAACAATGGGAAGCACACACCTTCCGGCCCCTGTGACACACTTCTTAACGAACCCATTCTGGACTTGATGGACTTCGTTGTTCTGGGTTTCAACTGGAGCCTGTGTCGTTGTCATCCTTCCTGCAGATGAAGATGCATCCTGTGCAAAATGGAGAAATTTTGTGTGTTTTCTCTGGCATCCTTGTACTGAGCATCTTCTATTCAATCTGCAAAACCTACTGGTGTGGCCAGATTGCAGGCAGTTGAAACATAGTCTGTTGTCCTGAGCAAACTGAAATCTCATCTCGGGTGCCATGGATTTAAAACTGTCGCACCCAAACAAGGAATGTTCTTGCCTACACTTCAGGCACTTCAGGTTGACTGCTACTTCTGTTACCTCTGTAGCGTACATGTAGTTACTTCTTGTACTCTTCTTGTTGAAAGCTGGGTTTGAAGTTTCAACTCTTTTTGTTGTTGCTGTCAGATCTCCAAAGACAGGATCATTGGCTTCCTCAGCAGCGTTGGAGACAAACCTTGCCATGTCCGAGATATCGGGAGAACGCTCCTGCTGTCTGATGTCTCTCACCAACTTTAACCATCTACCTTTAAGGTAATATGGAAGTCTCTCAGCCACCTTCAGCAACTCTCTCTGGCTACTAATTTCCTGCAGTAGATCCATTGCTCGAAGAGTTTCCATGCTGATCTTCAACTCATCTGCAAACTTCTGCAGCCCCTTCCGGTCATTCGCATGGCAGATTGGACCAGTGGTTATACGTTTGATCCAGGCTTCTCCTATCTTGTACTTGCTGCCAAAGCGTTCCACCAACAGCTCTCTGGCTCGTTGGTACCCATACAGTGGTTCCATGACCATACAGCACTGTATGATGCCCTTAACTTCTCCTTCACAGCAATGATATAACTTCATAAGTTTTGTCCCACTATCGAGTGAAGATCGACCAATTAAGTTGTCGAACGACATCATAAATTCATGGAAGTGCAAAGGACTCCCATCAAACTTCATCATCTCTACATTAGCCAGACTGATAGCTTCCAACCATCGTTGTTGCTGAACTTGGGTCTGCAGATAAAATTCTCGGTCGTCTCGTGGTTGATAAGCTTGACCTGAAATGGGAGATGAAGCCATTTGCTGAGCTGGAAAAGGAATAGTCTCTTGTAGGAGCGCAGGTTCCTTGACATCATGATTGCTGACATGATGATGATGTTCCGTAGCATGCTCTGCACTTTCATGCACCTGCTTGACATTCTGCTGACTGGAACTCCTATTCCCTATACTCGACACCTTACTGCCACTCCTGTGTTGCTCATACACGTCTTCTTCTGCCTCTGCTGCGCTGAGCTTGGCACGTAAGAGCAACTTAGCCTTCCTTTGCTTAAGGCGTATTTCTTCGAGTTCTATCTCTTGTTCTTCCTGAAGAACTGCTAATTCTGCTGCTATTGCAGCCCTCTTGGCCCTGGTCCTAAGTCCAGATGACGTGGTGGAACTCTTCCCAACCTGACTTGCAGAATCCTCTGGATTGACATCATCAACACCTACTTGACTCATGGTGACGAATGCTAAAGCTGTTATGAACTTTGTGTGACGTTAAATTCTGCTGAAGTGACCCCAACAGTAGGCTTAAAGAAAGGACGACGACATCCAAGTTGAGATACGTGCATAAAATGCAGTTCATCTGTAATATCAATAAAACAAACAAGCAATCATAAGCATGTGTACAAATTCACATGAATAAACAAACATCTATTGTATCGCACAACTAGCTTGCCATAAATGACCTTAATATGCATAACTGAGTAAAGAAAACCTTCAAGAATAAACTATGTGAGTAAAGCTCACTTGTGCAAACACAAACTGTATAACTGCCTCATTTATCTTATTCTAATGAACTGTCTCAAATTCTACCTTTGTTTACAAATATAACCCTTACAAATCATACCTCTCTATCTTGTAGGTTAACGTCATACACAAATAAACCCTCGACCAGCCTTATTTCCTGCCTCTATCTTACACTCTTTACTTGGTTCCTGAACTAAATTCCTATTTGCTTCTACACCCTTGACATTCTTTATAACCAAGGAAAACAATTCATACTCTTTGTTTCATGTCAATTATCATCACTCATTACACACAAATCTAGATTATCCTCAACACAAACTGATATATGCACAAATTGTGCATTCACACACGTTATCCTACGTTTGTCTATATGTGGTGCTACATGCACAGACAACATTTTAACGTACTTTTCATCTTAAAATTACAGAAAACTAGATTTATATCTTGTGCCATTTTTGGCCTCATACAAACAATTAAAGATTGATTTATACAAATAACAGCTTTATAGTACTTACAACATTGGGCTTGTCTCGATTGTCGGGGATTACTGATGGAATCACTGTCCACAAAACATTTCAAATTTCGTGACTTTTAGGCTGGCGAACTACAAACGCCCTCTTACGACCAAATGAAATTATGGTTAATCTGAACCGACGTCATGACAGAAAACTTTCTAAATCTTACAGGTAGACTTTGATCTTATGCAACTCTAAGTCTCTAACCTTCCTCTTAGAAATAAAATGTTCTTCCTTTATTTCCTGTAAGTACCTGGGGGGGGGGGGTTTCATAAAGCTATTTGTAAAGTTACGCATGACTTTACAAATGACTTAAATATGAAAAGCCAAATGGGATGCTCAATTATTATTAACTGCATCAACTAAAGTTGAACTGTGCAAATGTAGATAATAATTTTATTTTTAATGCAAAGTTTATTTTTTTGCCATAATGTAATTGAGGTTACCGGTATTGGAAATATAGTCACACTTTGTTAAAATATCAGCAAAAACTTTGGGCATCCTATCTGGCACTTCATATGAAAGTCGTTTGTAAAGTCATGCATAACTTTACAAACAGCTTTATGAAACACCCCCCCCCCCCCCCAGGGCTGAGTACTATCTTTCCATTTCTCAAATGCATGAATACATGTACATGACCCACTGTATGTAAAGAAAGTGAAAATAAGAATTTGAATACAAAAATGAAATCACTTTTCCTATAAATATGAACTTGAAAAAGGTATGAGGTTATCGGATTTTAGGGAAACATGCAAACATTATAATAGAATAAGATGAGCACAGAAATGGATCAGTAGTTCATGTTATAAAATTTTGTTAACAAAGTTGCTAACTTCTTTAGGGATTTCATGTTCGTTTAATGAACTGTTAATTTAATTTAAGAATCCATAACTGCTTTTATTCAAAAAGTCTTAACTTTTTATTGTCCACTTTTCCTCAAACTTTCACTGATCTGTCTGTCCTAATTTTTTGTCTCTAATTCTCGTCTCTATTAAAACCAAAGTAATAAATATCAGGGTGGAACTCCCGTGAAAATTAACTACTTGTAATCACCTAAGAAATTAATAAGTTATGAATAGCAAGAATGTATACAATCAACATAATAAAAATCTACCTGGTATTTTATCTAAGCTAAAGACTAAGTAGATACTCCTATTTCAAACTGAAGTATTGAATTGAAAACCGGCCCAGGCATGTAAAGATAATAAAAATATGAAACCCAAGTCAGATTTGGGTTCCATGTGGGCCCTCTTCTATGCAAACACATTCAAGTGCAATAAGCAGTCTACTCATGAGACTGATGTACATGTACATGTATGTTAGTTGAGTCTTGAGAGAGTATTTAAACTTGCCATATCTCTTTAAAGGGAACCTGTAACTTTGTCTCAGATTCTGAAACAAAATTCTTGATTTAGCTCATGCTGCAATGATAATTATAAACCTTTATGTCAGTCAGGAACCCCATGAGTTTTACAAGCCGATCGCCTGTCTGATTATCAAGATATTTATGAGTGGAATTATAAATTTTGAAAACCGTATGTCAAACGGTTTTCATAACACTACAGTCTATTGGGGAAAACGAGTATGGTAAAACCGGTCACTCAAAGATATTTACTTTTTTGAGGCACTTCTTGATCATTTTGAAGTGCAATTTGTTTTGGGCTTCAATATTACACCATATCACAGACACTACTAACACGTAGGGCCGTGTATCTCAGATTTAACATTGTTTAACGATCCCTTTAAAGAAGTAATATTTGAAGCTCATGTTCAAAATACACATGTAGTATTGTGACATGGAACTCCATTGAAAAAGCAATACCGTAACTTTTTTTGTTTGTGTGCAGACTTTGATGGGGTTCTCTACCACGTTTCTAATCCGGACCAAAACAAGCTTAAGCTCATGGTCAGTGTCAGTCTGAAATTCTACAAGGAACTAGAGGAGCATGGAGCAGATGAGGTAAGAGCTAGCTATTGATGATGAATTGATGATGATGATTGTTTTACCTGACCGCTAAGAAAGCATATGTGTCCTCGTGAGTAAGCAACCAGAGGACTGATGGCTTTAAGTCCTCTCTGAGAGACTCGGTACCGTGTCTCTGAACTGATTTTGATCAAAAGATGATTTTGTTAATTAAATTGTATGCTCTAAAAAAAAAATGTTGTGTAGCGCCCTCTGCAACAAATTTTAACTATCCCTTTAAAGCCGACATCTAAAAGTATTCAACCAGTCCACCTTTCATTCTTGAGTTACGAAAAAACACAAAAAATATCAAATTTACAAGAGGTATGAGCAATTCAATCATTAACTTTATATATAACTGACTGTCTTTACTTTTCAGCTCCTTCAACGTGAGTACGGCAGCTACCTGACCACTCCCGAGAGCAACTATAGCGTGACGCTGCTGATTGACTTAGAAAACGTACCGACCAATAAGGAAGAGGTGGCCGCCAAGGTGGCGCTCCTCAAAAGGAACTGCTTTGCCTCCGTGTTTGAGAGGTACTTCAAGTACCAGGAGAATGAGGTCACCAGCAAGAAAAGGGCCATCATCAACTACAGGGAAGATGAAACCATGTAAGTCAGGGGAAATAATTTGAGGGGGCTCGGGGTGAATTAGCCCTTGAAATGCCCAAAAGAGCCCCCAAAAGTTATAAAAGAGCCCAAAAAAATTTGCATAGAGTTCAATGCAAAACAAATTAAAAGAGTGTTATCATGCAAGCAAGCTTGAAAAGTACCCCCTGTAAATTTTTTAATATTTTTTTCCTGATGTAAGTAGAGGGATGATCCAACATCCCTCGGGCTCTGTCGTGAGTATAGGCGAGTATAGTCTAAAGCCCCACTGCACTACTTATAGCTACTATATAGCAAACCATGCCTAATTGGTTACCATTGGCCCCCCATGATCCTCTTTTTCTTATGTTAGATGAGAGCTGATTTGATGAGATAACCACCTGTCAGTGACCATGCAGGGAAGTCTAATCCCTCCTGGCAAAACTAGTGCGGTGGGGCTAAATTTTTGAGTGTTTTTAATACATCCACAGGGGCATCCAAATGTATCAAAATTGTAAAGAATTACTATCCTTCCAATTTTCAAAATTTCCCAAAACTTTGCATTACCTTTAACAGAGGAGAGATCTCGAAATAAAACTCAACATTTTTCTTTTTGCATCTGCACTTGTAGGTATGTCTCAGCAAGTAAAGACAGAGTCACTGTAATCTTCAGTACGGTTTTCAAGGACAACGATGACGTCATTATAGGAAAAGTTTTTATGCAAGTAAGTAGCAAGCTGATTTGATTGGTGTATTTGGAAATGTCTTTACAGGGACTGCTGGTGTGACAAGCTGTCAACAATTATCTGTCGATACCTGAATTGGCTATTGTTTGTAATTGCACAAAATATTTACAAAATCATATTAACAGTAAAAATTGTGGCTTATGGGCCGAATTGCTGATTTTTTTATTTTTGTGATTTTTTTTGTATACAAATTAATAATACCATGACATTGATCAGAAAGTAAAAGAAACATATACCTGGTATTAGTAATTTACAACATTGAAACATTATTTGAATAAAGTATATCAAAGGATTATCAATATATACCGTAGTTATACACTGCGAATTTAGAATTATGCTACTTCATGTACATGTATATCCAGTACATTAATAAGAGGGAAACCTGAATATATAATTAATTTAATGTTTTGATTATTTGATCATATTATAATCACTTGATTTAGATATTGCTAGATTTGAATATAGTGAAAAGTTATCATGAGAGAGAGAGAGAGAGAAGAAAAAAAATTGGGTAGTTTGTATGATTACTCAACTCGATTCCGAACTCTGTATCTTGTGCCACCTAGGAGTTTAAGGAGGGGCGCAAGGCCAGTCACACCTCACCCCAGGTTCTCTTCAGCCATAGAGAGCCGCCCCGTGAACTTCAGGGCTCGGACGCAAGGACGGGAGATAACATTGGATACATCACATTCGGTGAGTTCACTTGTGATCAGGCTACTTGCCTGTAAGTGTTATAGCCTTCTGTGAATAACCCCCTGGTGTTAATTTCAAATGCGGGAAAATTATATGAAAAATATACCAAGTGCAACTTCTTCCTAATGTCTCATGCAGATATGATGTGGCAAATGATGACGTAAAAAGTAAAGCCTCTCTAAAATGTTAGTAGCCCCAAATTCGTCAAAATTTTGATGGCAAAAATTATACTTAAATCTTAACGTAATGTGAAAGAGGATGTAATTTAAGACCCACTTTTGCAAAGATTCCCCCCCCCCCTTCCGAAAAAAGTGTTTGTACGCAGAAAACCTACATTGTCTTTTCTTTCATCAATATTTAAGAAATGTGTCTTAAATGACATCCTCTTTCACATTTATAATACAATTTAATTGAAATTTTGCCATCAAATTTTTGGCAAGAGTTCTTTTGATCAAAATAAGGCTACCGTATGATGTCATCAAAAGCCTCCAATGATCATTAGTTTCTTTTTTTCCATTAAACTTTGATTTTCTTTGATATTTTTTGTAGTATTGGAGCCACGTCACACAAACGCGGGTGCGAGAGACAACACTATCAACCTCATCCATACGTTCCGAGACTATCTACACTACCACATCAAGTGCTCAAAGGTAAACAAAACAAACATTTGATGTCGGCCCAAGTTGTTTTGGTTTGTAAAACAGGGGGGAAGGGGGAGAGGCAGAGGCAGGGGGGGGGGCAGGGGGAGGGGCAGGGGCAGGGAGGGATGGAGAGAGAGAGAGAGAGAGAGAGAGAGAGAGAGAGAGAGAGAGTGTGGTGATATTAATGAAGATGATGATTTTTGGAGGGAGGGAGGGAGAGAGAGAAAGAGAGAGAGAAAGTGTGGTGATTTTAATGAAGATGATGATTTTGGATGTGTAAAAGATAATCATGATGAACATTTATAGGCTATCCAGGGTGCTACAAGAATTTTTTTCACCACTTGCCCTGTCGGGCAAGTGGGTTTTCAATTTACTTGCCCAAACAATATTTCCACTTGCCCAAAACTTTAAAGCGAAAAAGGACTCGAGGTTAAAGCATTTATTATCTCGTAATGATAAGTTAGTGTTTTAGATAGCAAATTAATGCACATACATGTACAGTGTAACTGTACTGAATAATAACCTAATATGTCAAAGAAAATGGTCAACAAAGGATGGTTGAAGGTTTAAAAAACGCATTTTATTGATTCTCCATAAATAATCAGATTCACATGAATCTCGGCAAGGTAGAATGGTTCAAGCAGGTTTAAGTTTTTAATATTCAGTCATGTAAAAAAGCATAATGACCCTGTTGTAAAAAATATGATACAAACATGTCATTAATGGTAGCCACATGTACCATGGTGCAACATCACATGTGTGTCTGTGCAAGCCGCTGTCATTTGGAAACGTAGGCTAATTTTCAGCTGTTAATAATTTGGGTCAACTCTTCCATCAAGAAACGTCATGTAAATAATGGGTAATCAACTATTTTAAATAAAGTACGGACATTTTTATTTCATCATTCACTGCTATAAATATCATGCCAAAATTTGTAAATTCTTACTAAATAATAATATTGAAGATATTTTACGATAAATCTCGGATAAGTATGCGAAAACTAGACTAAACAACGTCGCTAAAACCATGAAAACAAAACAACAACGGCTTATATTCTGGGGGTCTCGATACTATTATCAAAATGACTCGCTCGGTCGGATCTTGAGACCGCAGTAATAAATTGAAAACGAGACAAAAACATTCATCTGATTTATATGAGCAGCGAGTTTTAAATAATATGTTCACAATCATTAACAGTCATTATGAATAAATATCAAACATTTGACTTTTTGTACTTACTAGAAAATCCCTGTTGTTTATTCCATTCCGATTCGCACGTGTTCATTTCCCTAGAATAATGACGTCATATTTGGCGTGATTCAACCAATCGGCAATCAGAGAATAGCAAAGGCCTGTCGGTGCGGCCTGCAGAGCTAGAGAGAGAGAGCGCGAATAAGCTCGCAGCTGGTACGATCGCGCTAGCTGTCTCTAGCTAGCTCACGGCCGGCCGTGCGTGGAGGCGGAGCGGCATTCATGGCTTGAAGTGTCACTGTTGCATGCGCGCTGAGCTAGCTGAGCTGGCTAGCTGTCTGTGAAGTTTTTTCGAAATCGGAACGATCGCTTTTTTGCTTCTGGATTTTGACGACGGGTAAGAAGTTGACGGGTGAATGGTAGAGTTCTTGGACACTAGGAAATTACTGTAAAAGTATCACTTGCCCGAATCGGGCAAGTGATAATTTGATTTACTTGCCCGACGGCTCAATTTGGTTGCCCCGGGACGTCGGGCAAGCGGGTTTGTCGCGCCCTGCTATCACAAAGATGCCAATGCAAGTGATAATTTTTAGATTTTAGTGTCGAGGATGAAATCTGTGAAGGTATAGAGATTTATTACTCCGATACATCCAAAATGATCATCACTTTTTTTCCTCTAATTTTTTCTTATTCTTCCTCTTTTCATTTTTTTTCACCAGGCTTACATCCATTCCAGAATGAGATTTCGCACCTCTGAGTTCTTGAAGATCCTCAACCGAGCTCATCCAGAAGACCCCAACCAGAAAGACAAGAAGAAGACCACCGTAACGTGAGTTCTCTTTACTTTCTACCTCGTCTCATCTTCCCTACTTTCTCACTTTAAATCTTTTTCCTGGTTCACATCTTTCTACTGTAAATGTCAATCTGTTTTTTCCTACTTTGTCTCCCTCTTTCTTCCTCTGCTTCTCTCTCTCTCTCTCTCTCTCTCTCTGTCTGTCTGTCTCTGTCTCTCTCTCTCTGTCTATCTCTCTGTCTCTCTCTATCTATCTCTCTCCGACTGTCTGTCTCTGTCTGTCTCTCTCTCTCTCTGTCTCTCTCTATCTATCTCTCTCTGTCTATCTCTCTGTCTCTCTCTATCTATCTCTCTCTCTCTCTCTTTCTCTCTTTCCTTTCCGATTTCTCTCTCCCTCTTTGTTCCATTATTTATGGAGGAAAAAAAAAAAGTATAGCCATTTCAAGAAAGAAAAAAAATTGGACTTCTGTCTTGTCTGTCTCTCCATCTTCCTCTTCCTTTCTTGCAAGTACCCTCTTCCTTTCCCTCTGTCTGTCTTGTCTGTCAGTCTCTCCTTCTCTGCTCATGTATTTCCTAGCATTCTGTATCAAAATATGAAGTACAAACATCACTAAAAGAAGGATAGTATTCTGCTATAGTTTAAAGAAGAACATTTTAAGAAGAAATCAATTTCTAATCTGCTGAGCGCCAGAAGGGCATTGACTATGTGTGAAAGATTATGAGTTAACATCCTTCTGGCTCTCAGTAGATGAAAAGCCGATCTTGCCTTTAAAGTGACTCAGTAACATTGCCTCAGATTCTAAAACAAAATACTGGATTTAGCTCATGCTGCAATCATAATTATAAACCTTTAGGTCAGTCAAGAATCTCATGACTTGTCTGATTATCAAGATATTTATGATTAGAAATTGAAATTTCATATTTCGTTTTCCTAACGGTTTTTATAACACTACAGTGTATTGGGGAAATGAGTATGGTAAAAACCGGTCACTCAAAGATTTTTTCCCTTTTTTGAGGTGCTTCATGATCATTTTTTAAGGGCTTCAACATTACGCCATATCACAGACACTGATAACATGTAGGGCCATGCATCTCAGATTTAACATTGTTAAACGGTGCCTTTAAACAACATCCCATCATTAATTAATTTTTCTCACTGTCTCTTTTTCTGTGTCATTCCGCAGAGGGAGAACATTTGTCCAGCAATAGAAACATTAAAAATCGCGGAAGAACAAGAGACGTGGAAAGATTTGGAACACAAAGATCAGGACCCGCCTTGAGACTGATATACTTCACATGGAAACGGCCTACGAACTCTGATCCTCACAATAGAGCCCCCGCCCTCCCCCCTCCCCCCCCCCCCCTATGACCCCCTTCATTTGGAGTCCATAGTCTCAAACTGTGCTGTTTGATAAGTTTGATATTAACATCCTTGTATAAAAATGATCAATTTCAATGATTTCATTAAACTCCTCTATCTGAACTCAAGTTGAGCCTGTGTGTATGATACCTCCGTCACACCACCACACCAACTTCTCAACGAGCCTTAGAGCACTTTCAAAATACCACTTGTTTCCTTTCGCAAGTCAGAAAGACAATGTAAAACAAACATGTATCTCTATAAGTCCAGAAGTCTTACCTGTGAAAAAAAAATATAGTCTTTCTACTCAAATATCAGCAATTGCCCTTGTAAATTTGCAGCTCTTTATACCACTTGTGCTTGTATATTTGGTATGAAATATGGTCGTATCAAAACTTACCCAGTTGTAGATGGTTTGAAATAAGATATTTAAACATATTCTTGGACCCCTTTGAAAAACACCTTATAGCTGACAAGGGCAATCCATCCCATGAGTGGAGAATAAATAAATAAATAAATAAATAAAAAAAATAAAACGATTAAATAGCTCTTTAGGTACTCCTTTGTGTTTGTTTAGGTGTAGGCTGCATGGTTTTCATTGCATTTTACATAAAAGGAGGCCTTATTCTTATTTATCAATATATTTTAGTTGAGTGAGAAAAGGCGTTTTATATGAACATATCAGTCAGAAGAAGTAGAAGAAGAATGTGTCTTTGATAAAGCTGGAGAAAGAGAGATCCAAATATTTATGGCATATCTGATTATAGCCTGGGTTTTTGTTTTTTAATTTCTTGGACAAACTGACCAAAATCTGATCTTCCTCGTCCAAACTGTTAGAAGAAAAGAAAAAATGATATGTCATTTATTGATGCAGCTAGTAGATTTCACCGAAACATCCAAGTAAACTCATTTCCATTTTCATTTTGATGTATACTTCTTGCAAAAGTTTTAAATTCACCAAAGTATATCGAGTATACACTAAAAGAAGTAGTAGAAGAAGGGAGTGCGAAGAAGGAACATTAGTACATAGATGGATGTTCCTGAGTAGATTTGTTTTATATTATGTATTTACAAAAATGAGATCATTTAAACCATTCTGAATATATTTGCAGTCTTATGTTGAGGGACAGTATTGTACAGTGTAAAATCATTCTTATCCAGTACATATTTTGTTTCCTTCTCTTTACATTAAGTCATGTATCAGATTTATATAGTTTTTATGACTGACTTGGGGTGCTAGGTTAGATCAATCGTTTATTTCGGGAGGTACGGATGAGTTCTTTAATAGTGTCTTCTCATCAAAATGCTGTATCTGATATTGCAAGGCCAGTTCCTGTGATAAAATACCTTTTAGGTCTTGCCGCCTTATTTCTTTTAACACAGAAATGTTGAGAAAATAATGTCTAGAAAGCCCTTTACTGTCGATCCTTCATTTCGGGAGGTACGGATGAGTTCTTTAATAGTGTCTTCTCATCAAAATGCTGTATCTGATATCGTAAGGCCAGTTCCCGTGATAAAAAACCTTTTAGGTCTTGCCTTCTTATTTCTTTTTACACAGAAATGTTGAGAAAATAATGTCTAGAAAGCCCCCTACTGTCAACATTTCGCCTCAAGACGATGGTATTTACAATGATTGTATGCATCAAGCTTGTACCCCGTATTATTAAAATAATGTAGGAAGACATACAAACATACAAACTCATTCCACACCATACGGGATTGATAACTATGCTAATTTGGTTTATCACTCCAAAATATATGCATGTCTTGTTTTTGCTATGTAAACAAACATCACTTTCTTAATTTCTTGATTGTTTTGCAGCACTTTCACCTTTATTTAAGAAAATGGAGAGTATGGGAGAAAGTTGTACTATTATTGATATTGTTATAAATCATGAAAACATTAATTTTAGAAGGGAAGGCAAATGTAGAAAACTTTACGGAGCACTACTTAGATTAGGTAGTATAATTACCCATCAATTGTGCCAGGTTTCTTTCTTCACGTGGCATGTTCCATCAATTCTTGTTTCAAATATAATTAATTTGTATAAAAAAGCCTCAATATATTCCCTTAGGATTAGCTTCGTAATTGAAGATTTTATTGATCAATTTCAGCAAGTTATTGCTGATGGTTATCAAATGTTAATGGAAAAAAAGTGATAAGGAATTGAAATGTTGTCTGTCTCTTCCTGGAACAATTATGTGCACTTTGATCTTTTCAAAGACTTGATATGTTAAAAAGAATAAAACACATTGTAGCTTTCATATTAAATATGTATCGGAAGAAATTTCTCACACTAAAACTGTTTTCTGTCATGTCTGGTTTGTTTTGTCCATGAATAATGTATATTGGGTTTGCAAAATAGACAATTTTTAGGTTTAAAGGGCAATCCACCCTTTGTAATAAGTTCATTTATATGATAGCAACAAAATCACAGAAACAGAAGGAAGAAAGTTTGAAATAAATTGGAAAGTGAATGCTTGTAATATGAGGTAATTAATTCTACCGAATCTAAAGTTGGCAATTTGTTAAAGTCTCCAATATGATGTATATATATATATATATACAGTGCTTTTTTTCTTAAGCACCTTCTCCCATGCCTTGGAATCCCTTTAAAGACACTGTCGACTCTGAAATAGTTAAAAAATAAATAATAGTAACTGGGTCTTGGTGCTCTCTACCCATTGCAAATTCCCATGAAGTGAAAAAAAGGCATAAAAACAATGAAAATGTATACTTTCAACATCAATAAAACAAACGACCATATACAGGCAAGATAAGGCTTACAGTCATTTTATTATTTAAATAATTTTTACTTCTAATCTACACATGGAAGCAAACAGCAGCTCACCCCTCCCCCCCCCTCAAAAAAAAAGGAAATAGAGGGACTTAACAGGCATACATAGGGGAAGGTATATTGAACAGTATTTCGAAAGAATTGGTTGAACATATAATTGAATGTACCTGTATTCTTCCATTTATTAACTAAACAAAAATATATCTACTTTCAAAAGCCTGAGAAAGAAATGATGAAAGTTGATCAAATGAGAAGAAAAAAAGACAGACTAGAGAGGGAGAAAAAGTTTTAGAAAAAGGAGAACAGAGTGAAAGAGTTAAAGAGCTACGTGGAGAGTAAAGATAAAACGACATTGGCAAACAAGCAATAGGATCAGATAAGGATGATTATTTTAAAAAAGTTCATAAAATACAAATGAAATGGCACAAATCAACCAACCTAGAGTAACACAATTCATGTAACAGCAAAACAGGTGTGTGGGCGTTTAGCTAGATTTCCCTTCTTTTCATGGGTGTACATCATAACATTATGTAATGCATTTCAAGCTTAATGAATTTGGATTAAAAATTGAAGAAGTTAAAAGCCTGCAGAGCCACAGTACAATACCTTGTCCCACATGTGCATATCTGTGTAAGAACTTTTCAGAGTACTTGACGTGCAGCAAGTTCTATTAACTTTGATTGACATTTGCAAGACTATCTACAAACAGCTGCATTACAAATTGTCCATTATGAGCTAAATGAGTATTAAAGATAAAGGTGAGTTCTGGCCATGCGATTGCATTGTGAAAGAAAAGGTGTGGAATGGATCAGAAAAAGTTGATCATGTAGCATGTAAGTATTGGTGAGCACTGCAAGGTTCTGGAATCTGGAGTCATCAAAATGATAAGAAACTTGGCCCAGTCTTAGTAAAGTAACAAGCACTGTACACAGAAAGATGTATATGGGACTACACAATGGTGTCGGGGCTAGTACTACCTTGATTTCCTTATCTTTCTATGCTCATTACTCAGCCAGTAAACATTTTCTTTCAAAATTGTTTGGCACATGTCATTTATTTGTAATCTTGAACATTCAGTGTAAGTTTCGTTTGATTTTTGTGAGAACTAACTTTCTTTTTTTTACCAGAACTCAAGGTTATCTTTAACTTCTTTACTTTCACACCAGAGTTAACGCCCTTCTGGCTCTGAACAGACGATATGAGGATATACTTATTGGCTCCATGATGACCAACGATTCTGAGCAACATTTATTTAGAAATATTATTTTTACTTCAATGACTGTAGATAATCTTTACCAGTACAATTGGATAGTTGATCTCGGAACTTTGTATCCAATTAAAAAAAATGAAATTGGTCCGAGTAAATTGCGCCTTGAGCAATTGATTTCATTCAAGTGGATTTAGGTTTCACATCCTCAAATATGTAAAATTCATTACTTTGATGTCATTTTAAAAGATACACTCGTAGTTCTGATATCAATTCCAATATTAAGAAAGATATTTCCAGTTAATTTACATGTATAAATCATAACATAAATTAAAAGAGCGGATCCGTGTAATGTTGCAGTACAACATGCATGTATGTCTTCAATCCATCTGCTTCATACCAAAAATGACAAATTCTTGATTTGACCATTGACTAATGATTTTGTCTGGTAATACTTTCATAAGTCCAATAAAAGGATTTTCATTTTTGCATGAATTAAGGAAATGGATAAAAGGCATATGTCATTCCAGACACATTGCATGGTATACTATAGCCCCCGAGCACTATAAAAATAACCCATAAAATATTAATTTGAATACGCAGTGAGTTGACAACCCAGAACGCAATTTACCTGTATTAAAATAACATCTAAAAAACCATCAATGAGCCACACAACATGTATTTTTAATGTGAGAGACACATCAAATTTTAGCGAGGACTAAAACTATTTAAAATGGTGTGGCATATATATATATATCATGCTTGAGTGATCGTCAGTTTTTTGTCTCTGCCGTGACTTTGGTCAATTCATATCACTATACTGCCCTCAGGCCACTATGGCATGCACAGCATACTTAAGACCAAGGGCCCCAAACCAAGACCATGGGGAAAGGGGGGGGGGGAGGGTAGAGGGGGAGGTCATTGGTTAAATCCATTTAGAATAATGTCTCAGAGTCATTGAATATTATAAAACACCGAAAGCGCTGAGACTGTTCTCATGATCTAATACCTCGGAAAGCTTTAAGTCTTTGCAGGTAATGATGGGGTGATCCTCAGTACATGAATTCTTTGTAAAAACAATGGGACAGGTCTTGACTATAAAATCAATGGTGGATCTTAAACTGACACAAGGACTGATTCAAAAAACTGAATCTATTTTGGTAATAATGATGTGGAAGATATACCAAAGATGAGCCTCGGGAAGCTGTCTATCTGCGACCTGTTTCACAAAGTCTTTTTACAATGACAAATTACAAAAATCAGTGACAAATCTGCTGATTACCAATCAGAAGCTAGGATTTCAGTAGCTTATAACAAAATCTGTCATTTGTCACTGACGACAAGTTTTGTGAAACGCCCCCCCTGTTCTTGTTGTGATGGTGTGGTCATCAGAACTACATCGCCAGTTGGTGCTAGGAGGGGCATCCTTGGGAAGCAAGTCAATCTGTGCTGGTAAGATGCAATTTCTGTCTCAACTATACTGCTTGTGAACAGTATACCAACGCAGCGCTCCTTTGTGAAGCTTTTCTTTTGGTACTAATCTTGGTAATGAAGCTGATTCTTGGTTTAAACTAGAGACTGGTCTTGACTAGGTCCCAGGTGGATGCCATACATAGGAAGGGCCTTGGGCCTTGGGAAGCTTTTAATCTGTGTTGGTAATGATGGTATGGTCCTCAGTACATTGATTCCGTGTTGTTCCCTCTGGGTTTCTTGATCTTGTCTTTGTTCTTTGTGATGACATCATGAAGGGAAAGCTAAAAGGAGACATGAGGGTAACTTCATTATTTATTTTTTTCTAAAGAGGGGGGGGGGGGGGGGGGGGTAACATGGAACAATACAAGGGAATAAAGAACTATGTGAATGTCCACAGCCATCCAACAATAAGAAAGAAATAAAAGCGCTGTATAAACAAAATGTGATTCTGGGACAACTTACACATTGACTACCATCCTATGACAGTTAACTCCCTAGACAAGCTTACCCCTAAAAGATTATCAAGCTATTAGTCAATTTTGTTGTCATGCCTTAATTCTCGCTACCCCAAATAGCGATTCTGCCGAGATCGGGGAAAATCCTGAAAACGCGCATTGCATTATGGGATAGCTTTTCGACATTACAGCTTCCTGTGCAGGCGCGCGATAGCGCAAACGTAAAACGCCGTCGCCACACAACGTGTATGCACCGAATATGTCGTCTGCTCGGTCTTGTTTTTTTTTTTGCAAATATTTCAACGTTTATTTGAACATTTCATTCGTTGTTTTTTGCGTCTTTTGACATCAGTGACGATGGTTTTCTTTTGTGAGGCTGCACAGTGCTGGGCTCATGATTCCAAGCGTAAGAACCCTGAAAAATGGGGGTGGATGAAGGCCATGACTTGGGATGGGACTCTATACCGGAAGTTGTAGTGACGACCCGAGAGAGTGAAAATTACCTCGTCTCGCGAATTTCGAGATTTTCGTACATATTTAGGGTAGCGAGAATTCACTTTTTTATTTAAATCTATCCCCTATCCCTCCACCCCCTCCCTAGTGTTTATAATCTAAACAAATCCATTTTCGTTTAGAAAAGCCTGGATCAATTGGATCATCAAGTAATATTTAAAAAAAAAACAACGGCCAAATTCATGATATATCCCACATGTAAATGTATACGTGGGTACAACTGACAACGCATCCATCGACACATGAAGTACTTCTTATGAGTAAATTAAACAAGCAGAAATTTACTCACGTATGTATTTCTCAACTCCAGGCATGTTAGGCGAAGATTGATGAACTCCTTCTCGTCTATTTCTATTATACTTCTCCTGTAGTCATCCTAAATAAAGAACCAACAAAAAAACATGCACCAAGATTGAGTATTTCAAATGATTGTTACATTTGTGTGTAAAGGTGTTTAGTCATTCGCCTGTTTACGTGAATAAAGTCTCTGAATGATTTAAGTCACCACCAGGTTTATTGGAATTTTGAAACAAAATCTTTATCTTATGGAAGGTATTGTTATTATTATCATTAGTGATTGCAACCAAGAGATAATTTTCCCTTACATCGCTCTTATTGATGGATAGCACAAAATACTGCAACGGTAATGGACTCACATTCTCCAGCGATTTGTGAACTTTCTACTCAGTCATGTATAATGTGTAATTCAGAGCATTATGTAAAATGCCACTTAAAAGGAGATAGGGCAATTCCACGGTAACGGAAGGACACTCAGACAAGATTTTTGAACTTCAGGTTCATACTAAAAGAAATGTTTTATTAGTATGTATTAAACTATTGGGAACAAAATGTGTTTCAGTCAAGTGGAAAGCTTCATCAACTTCACAAAGTTTGGATAAACACTAATTAACTGGAAAAACCATGTCCATTTTTATGTCCTTCCGTTACCGAGATAATTAATATGCACATTCTTAAACTACTTAACTATAATGACAATTTTTTTGGGGAGAATTAAAGGCACTTATATAGGTATTATATCTGTACTGTTTCACATCTTATACTAATAAAACAGTTCTTTTAGTATGAACCTGAAGTTCAAAAATCTTGTCCGAGTGTCCTTCCGTTACCGTGGAATTACCCGATTGAAGAAGTAAGCACTGGCAGACCTGCCAACCTCTGGAGTTCAAAAACTGTATTCTTTAATCCCAAAAGTTTTGTTTTACTGACAAAAATTGTATTAAAAAAACAAACATGGATCAATGCCTATTACGGTTCCTACATACAGGAAGACATTTTTTTAGGGATCATTGGTTGAATATGCATGATTTCGTCATGACTGGTGTGTTCAATGAACCAATGAAAATCCCCAAATTGACGATGTGAGAAGCTCATAGAATACTTAACAGGATAGAATGGGCATTTGACACACACACACACACACAAAATAATTATTATTACAAAAAAAAAAAAAAAAATTGTTTTTGTTTTTTGTTTGAAAATCATATTTTAATGAGGAATATCGTACTGTCGTAGTTACTTAAATGATTAAATTGTACTGGTTGGCAGCTCTGCACCAGTCATAACAAATGGACAAGCTCGATCGTCAACTTACCACGTGAGGGTACTTGGCGACCTTGCTGATTAGCTTCCCCCTTGTGATGTAATACCGTGATATCTGGTCTAGGTAGGCAGCAGCCTCACTCTCCACCTGCCGTAGCTCACTTAATGTGTCTTCCTGTTATTTAGAGTTAGAAATCGAGGGGTCAGTGATACAAAGACGTAACTCCATTTTGAGAAAAAGTGGTTCATGTGTCGCTTAACACTTGGGCCCTAAGGAGTTAAGTCTATGTTTCACAAGCCATTGACTTCAATGGGGTGTTGGGTGGAGTTAGGTCTTTTTGTTTCCAGGAAAGCCCACATTTTTCTAAACATTATGATATCAAATACTCATCATTGAGTTGAAATTGATTTTCATTTTCAGCAAACAATATCACCCACCCATTGTATGCCCCCTAAAATTGAAAATAGTGATAGGTACCCATAGATTGGTGTGGGAAATTAACTTGGAATGTTCCTGCTAACGCCATTTTTCCAAATGCAGGATAAATGTATGCTATGACAAAGGTAATGGTGTACTATTAACCCTATTTTTTTTTTTTTGCAGAATGGGGGAGGGGGGATGAGATGGTGGTGGGGTAGAATAACGGATAGCTGCAAAATTCTGCACACAGCTAAAGAATTATGCAAAGAACCAACACTTTTCCTAACCCTAATCCTTAACCTACGTGAAACCCATTTAGCAATCTAAGCCCTGTTTCTTTGATGAATTAGAGCCCCCTCCCACCCCCCCCCCCCCCCCCTGAGCATTCACCTCTGGTGCAGATGTCGGAGCTCCAGGTTCTGAGAGCTATATCGTGGTTTGCCTACCTGGACGGAGACACCAAAGTTGTTGCCGTCTTCGATCCTTGGAATCTGTAACTGGATCCACATCTTCAGTGTGTTACAGTTCTCAATGAGGCAACATATCTTGGGTTTGAGAATGTCTATGAGCTCACATAATTCCTTGTTGCATGGAACCGTCCCTCCAGGCAGTGAAAACACCTTGCAACCTGTAGGAGCAAAGGTCAAAGGTCAGAGGTGAAAATTTGAATGAGGTTGAGAAACAATTCTCAATGAGGCAATATATCTTTGGTTTGAGCTCACGTAACTGGTTGTTGAATGGTACCAATCCCAAAGGGAGAAAATAAAACACCTTGTAATTTGTAAGAAAGATCAAAAGTCATTAAAACAAGTTGGCCGTTAAAGTATTCAAGAGGTATCTACCTCTCAACTACGGTAGTTACCAGTGTGTCTGATTTGACATTATTTTGATACTTCCATACAAGTTTCCATCAATGAAATCTAATTTTCTATCTTGTATAAAAAGATTTGATAGATTTTTTTTACCTGTCACGTCATTGCCCGAGTCATGCTTCCTTTTCTTTGCCTGTAAATATAAAAGAGAATGCAAGATAACTTGCTTGAATGTCAAGTGAAATGTATACAATACTATGGTAATTGCAATTTTTTGAAAATTTGCTTATTTATGGTAATTTATGCAATTTATTAAGGTCATAAAATTTTCATATATTAAACATTCGTTTTCACTACATACTTTTTAGACCATTTGGAATAATAATACATCAACAAAATTTGAAAGAGCCAGGTTATTCCTTATGATATATATAATATTGTTTTGATAATTTCTTGTGTATTTTTTAATTTTTTTATGATAATGATTTTCAAAAAAATTGTTTAAAATGATGTGCAAGGTACAATCTTCAGAGCAAGTTCTTTATTCCGTTAACATTTTTTTGTACGGGGGGGGGGGGGGGGGGGGGGGCTTATTTAATAGGGTTAAAGGTTAATATACTACAATAGTTGGATCGAATTGTGGTAGTCGAGAGGTAGAAATATCAACTATCAAACAAACAACCATCAGTCAAAACACAGAAAATGTACAGGGGGGCGGTCAAATCAGAGCTGTCACGTCCTGATGTATAGTGTTGGGATGGGTTTAATCTGATATGGCTTTAACTAGGCCGAAATAACAGTCTATTTCGATCGTTCAGGGATAAATTATGTTCCCCTGAGAAGAAAAAAAAATGAGAAAATTGAAAAAATTGAAAAGGATTGGGTTTCTATGCCTCAGATTCTACAAAAATCCTTTATTTAGCTCATGCTGCAATCATAATCATAAACCTTTAGGTCAGGAACCCCATGACTTTTACAAGCTTATTGCTTGTCTGATTATCAAGATATTTATGATTGGAAATCAAAATCAAATTTGGCATTTTCCAAACGGTTTTCATAACACTACAGTCTATTGGGGAAAATGAGAATGGTAAAACCGGTCGCTCAAAGATTTTCATTTTTTTTGAGGCACTTCATGATCATTACGAAGCGCAATTTGTTTAGGGCTTCAATATTTCACCATATCAGACACTGATAAGACGTAGGGCCATGCATCTCAGATTTGTTAAACAACACCATTAAAGGCATCGTTTAACAATGTTAAATCTAAGATGCACGGCCCTACGTGTTATCAGTGTCTGTGATATGGTGTAATATTGAAGCCCTAAAAAAATTGTGCTTCAAAAAGAGCAAGAAGTGCCTCAAAAAAGGAAAAATCTTTGAGTGACCAGTTTTACCATACTCGTTTTATCCAATAGACTGTAGTGTAATGAAAACCGTTAGGAAAACGTAAAATTTGGTTTCGATTTCCAAACATAAATATCTTGATAATCAGATCGACTTGTAAAAGTCATGGGGTTCCTTACTGACCTAAAGGTTTATAATTATCATTGCTGTATGAGCTAAATCAAGGATTTTGTTTCAGAATCTGAGACAAAGTTACCGGATACCATTATCACTTACATGTGCCTTGAGCCCATCATCCACTCCATCGGAATTGTTGAGAATGACGGGAGCAGGAACTGGAATGTTGATGTTGCATACAACCTCTGACATACGACTTAGCTTGAACAAATCACTCTGCAAAGAATTATTAAATTGTATGTATCTATACTAAATATCACATACTTCATAATTTGAATACTATTACATTTTATGTGAATTTTTTTTTAAAGAAACAAAATGTCATATTGGCCAGTTGACAGAGGGGGTTTAAGTACACACAAGCAATGAAAGTTTACTAGTAATATAGATAGAAAGCAAGAGAAAGAGCATGATATAGAAAGAGAGAGAGAGAGAGAAAAAGAGACAGAGACAGAGAGAGACAGACAGAGAGAGAGAGAGAGATTTTTAGCCAATCATTCACACCTCAGGAAACAGTTTCACATCCTTCATCATTAATCATCCAAAATAAAATCATGTCATCTCCTTTAATAAAGGAGAGAGAGAGAGAGAGAGAGAGATGGGTAAAAATAAAAGTCAAAGCCAAAGGATATTCATTTTATAGAATGAAGTAATTTATGAATTTAAAAAAAATAGTGAATAAAATAAACCCTTACCTCTACTAATTCCCCTAACTCTCCAATCTTCTGTGGGAACAAAACTTTCACCAGGTTCTCTGACTGTTTAGAGAGAGAGAGAGAGAAAGATTTTTTTTTCTTTTAGAAACATTGCATATAAAATAATGTTTAAGTTTGTCACATTAATTCCATCACATGACGATAATGCACTAAAACAGACTTGCATGTTTGCAATATTACTTGGTGAAAGGTTGTTTTTAAAACAACCTTTCAAACAGACACTAACATTTCAATCATTGAAATGTTTGAATATCTCAAATCTAAGACTTTCAAAGACCTTAAAAATGAAAGGAATTAATACAAAAGATGATATGCAAAGTATGATAATGTAGTCCTAATTTTTAAGGTGCTAATTTGTCACACTAATTTCATAGAATATTTGAACATCTTTCACAAATGATAATCAAAGAAATGCTCCACAAATAAATTCATTTACTCTGAGTACTATCCAACATTGAAACATGAACATTAACAAAACCATCAATAAAACAATTAAAAAGAATAAATCTCTGTTAAAATGAAATTGAAGCAAATACTGAGCTCTAGAAAATTATTACTTCATTTCAAAAGTATTTGAAAAGTATCACATTAAAAAGTTTTTATTTCTTGCGATAATTTCACATATTTTTTCATATTATTATCATTATTAGAGTTCATTCTCAAACATTATTCTCAGTCAAAGTTGCATTGATTAACTAAGCACTGGATCTGCGATGTACATGTATTTCAATTCAGACTCTTACCATTTGATGTAATTTGTCCTTGCATGCGGTTACCTGAATAGAGGGATAAAAATTAAACAAAATGCAATAAATTATGTCACATTAAATTGCAGATATAGGAATAGACTGAAAGCATGGATGCCAGTCAGTTTTACTCACTGGGCCTGAAAAGAAGCCAGAACATATTAAAGCCCCATATGTGCTGTACAATATAAAGCCTGAAAAAGCCTGAAATGGGAAGTTGTGAAAGCTTCAGTCTCTGATATGGACTGTAGTTAGATATGTACACATTTTTACTCCCCTGAAGTGTTGTTACCAAAACCCCCACCCCCCCCCCCAACTCAGTTTTATGGTACCCGTATGCATGTTCCCTGAACTTCCCTCCCTTTGAAAGAACCTCTTTATCTCTGGTGTGTAAAGTCAATACGGGCCGGATTTTGTTGCATGAAAAGTACCCCTTTACCAGAGACTTTAAGAACACGAATGCGGTCCCTTCGACCCCGTTTTTTTTTTTTTTTTTTTTTTGGGGGGGGGGGGGGGGGGTGGGGGGGGGACGGGCCAATACCATATTATTCATTTGAGAACAAAAGTGAATCAGAGAGTCCATGATGAAATGATGTTGTCACATATTGTGGATGCCCATTCGCCCTTGTATTTTCTTTTTTTAATTTTGGTTTTCTAAAACTTTTAGAAAACCAAAATTTAACACTTTGGAGACGACGGGCTTCTACAGAAGCCGAGCGACTTGTTAAGTCTGTAATGACGGGCTTCTACAGAAGCCGAGATGTATCCCTAATTTATTGACAAAGTTTTCCAGCTTATTATTAGATATTATGTGCCAAAGTTCTTTGAAGTATTATTTAGATATACATTCATCTCATCTATTAAAAAAATAATAAAGTTACGTGGGAAAAAATAGAGAAAAAGGTGATATCATTTCAACTTTACCCTAAGTTAGTGTTCGGATCGAAATAACCGTACAGACGGTACAGCTGGAGACGGACGCGTACGTGCGCGTCCGTTCTACATTCTTGCCGTGATTCAAGGCTTTGGATTATTGGTTTTGTTGGTGAAGATGATTACATGGCGATTTTCCATCGGTGATTGGATGATTTTCGCTGGTCAATATGAGAGGGCGTTTTTTCCCACATTTCGATAGATGAATTGTAGTTATTCATATAATAATAATAATAATAATAATACAATATTTATATAGCGCAAAATAAGCATAAGTTTCTCTTTGCGCTGTACAAGCATATATATAATCACATAAAATGAATTAACACAGAGAAATATACAAATCTTATACTACTAAAATGACTAACTTAACATAGTAAATAACATAATAAAGAGATAGCTAACATGGTCAAGAACAAAGAACGTAAGTTAGGATAGTCTAATTAATTAAGGCCAAAGAGGTGCGTTTTTAGTGAAGATTTGAATGTTGTAGAAGTGGGTGCCTGTCGTATGAATTCGGGGAGATTGTTCCAAAGGTTTGGTCCAGCAACTGCAAATGATCTGCCCCCATAATAATATTATTAGGCCTATAGTAGTCCTATTCATAAAGACCTATTCCTTTTAAATTAAATTTGCGATTCGCCGTGTTTCACTTGGCTACAAATAACCGACCTTACTCTAAACTGTGTAAGTATAAAAGTATGCTTTGATAAAAGGAGTTGATAATTCTTCTCCCCTATGATTACCAGTGCCTTTTCATTTCATCAACATGACCAATTTAGCGAATCATGCCTATGGACCTCTTCTTTTATGAAACGCTTATCTCAGCTCATCTCAGGACCCTACACTTAGAGGAACAAACGAATGTACAGAAGTATCTACTCTGGAAGATTACTGTTTTGAAAGAAGAGGATGTAGGATAATTGGCCGAGCTTTAGCAGAAGACAATCATTGTCATTGACAATAGGGGAATGAATGGAGGTGCTTGCGCATTTTGTATTGTGAGTGTATTGAAAAGGAAAGACGTGAAGCTTCAGCAAAATAAGACGGCAATTTCCCTCAAAAATAACAGACCTTATTTTTCGTATTGAAGAACAAAACTTATATTTTTAGAAAGAAAAAAGTCTGATCTTTCATTTTTAGTTTACATTTACTAAAAAATCACGAAAACGACTGAATGAGGTGCAATGGTAGACTAGGCGAAAGTAGAAAGCACCGCCAAATTTTCCATTACTGGCGATGTAACCGAAATCGCTCCGTCACAGGGGAAACAATCGCTGTGCGCCGGGCTCGCTCTCAAAGGGTTAAAGTTAGGTCTAGACCTACATGTAGATCTAGATCTAGACCTAAATCAAATAATTTTGTGACAAAATGGACCTATTTTTTACACATGTAACAGTAAACCTAATGTACGGACAATGTCAATTTGCAATGATAGTGCGACTGTTGAATTCCTTAAGTGACCCTTCCTTCGGCCTACATTCCTTGTTTTATATTTATTGTTTCTCTTTCTTTTTTTTGTCAAGGACAAGGACAACGCAACATTATTAAATAAATCATGACTTGGCACTTGTTAACTGGTTAAGTTGTTTCCTGAATCCTGATCCTGAAAAGACACTATTAAGACACTATCGATAAAGCTACTTCAGTGAAAAATTCAGACTATTGCTAGCTGTGCATCCAAAAGACAAGACAAAGTCAAACTCAAACTTTAAAAGACAAAGCAAACTTGGCAAAGCTGGAAAGGTAAGCGATATCAACATGCCACTCCAGTCAATCACAGACCAACACAAAAATGACAATATGGGACTGTATAAAAAAAAAACAAGCAACGTTATCGACTAGTTCTTACACATTTTCTATGAACCTATTTCACTAAAACATCAAAAAAATCGAAACGATTCAATTTACCTCTCTTGGATCGTCATTGGCCATGATATTTCTTTATTTGATTGTCCAATATTTGACAGAAAGTATTATTAATTGATTTCGTTTCGATCAGTTGTACATGTGCCGCGCATGCGTAGTTGGTTATCGTTTCGAAACGAGATAAAAGTTGTGTATACACCACTGATCTCTACGGAAAGAGATCAGTGGTATACATGCATGGGTGGGGTTGCCCAGCTGTTGGTTGGGGTTGGGAGAGGGGTGGGGGCGGGGGGGGGGGGGATCAAATCAGAGCTATCAGGTCCGGATGTATCGTGTTGGGATGGGTACTTGATACTTGATGAGGTAATCCCTGAAACAGCTTTTCCAAGCTATACTGGGATGGGATGTGTTGTGACAACAGGTGAAGGTGCAGACAACAAAAAAGTGTACAATTTCTTTATACAGTAAAATAGTGACGTGCAAGTAAAAAAAAATCATGCTGTTATATGGTTTACAGCATTCTGGAACCTACTACAGGAGGTTCCAACCCTCTGATGACAGGGAGGGCGGTCATCTGGAAAGCAGCAACTGTTGGGGCAGTAACTGCAGTGGCTGGTAGTTGATTCCAGATGCGAAGGTGCGGGGGTATACTGTTTATACAATTTGACAGATTCAAAGAACTAATTTGAGTGCCCCTTCACTCTGAAAACTGTTATGTTAAATCACCTTGTAATTGGGCCGAGGAGTGACCACTTTATCAAATTGGTCGATTAAGACTTTGAACATGATAGATCCAACACTATAACTGTTAAATATGTGTATTTACATAACTCGAGACGGCTCAGTTTAATAAGCCTTTTTCATCAGAGTTCATTTTTGTCCGAAGTTGCATTCCTTCTGTCAAAACTATTTTGAACAATACTGTTATTGAGAAATCTCAGTTTTATGCAGTAGTAACTTTTAATTACAAATACTGCTCGTTAATACAAAATCAAGTTTTGCTTTTATTTCCATTTACTAGTGTTGATTGCAATTGGAAGTTAATGAAATATTGTCAACTTACGTTTGACATTGATGTTGTAAATCGCTGTATATAATTATGATCTATTTCAAAAGATAGGCCTAACGTATGGTGGCCCTGAAGGGACATCGCGAATAGACTAAATCGTGAAAAATATGCGATAAAATTCACGATATCGTCAATTTTATCGCATATTTTCACGAAGAAATTCACGAAATTGACGATATCGTGAACTTTATCGTGAACTTTTCACGATGAAATTGACGATATCGTGAATTTTATCGTGAAAAGTTCACGATATAAAGTTCACGATATCGTCAATTTTATCGTGTACTCTATCGTGTACTCTCCTGACGGGCGCTTCGTAAACAAAACCAGCCCTAGTTGGGGGAGACAGAGAGAAGGAAAAAAGGGAAAGGGAAAGAGAAGATAAAAGGAAAGAAAGAATAATAAGAAGAAAAGAGGGAAACGGGGGGGGGGGCGAAGGGCTCTTGCCTCCTCCTCACTCCCCCCCCTCCTCCTACCCGCCCAAAAATAAATCAGAGAGAGAGAGAGAAAGGAAAGGGAAAGGGAAAGAGAAGATAAAAGGAAAGACAGAAGAGGAAGAAGAAGAAAAGAGGAAAACGGGGGAAGGGCGAAGGACTCTTGCCCCCCTCCCCCCCCCCCCCGCCAAAAATGAATCAGAGAGAGAGAGAGAAGGGAAAGGGAAAGGGAAAGAGAAGATAAAAGGAAAGAAAGAAGAGGAAGAAGAAGAAAAGAGGGAAACGGGGGCAAAGGGCTTTTGCCTCGTCCCCCCGCCCCCGCCAAATAAATAAGAGAGAGAGAGAGAGAAGGAAAGGGAAAGAGAAGAAAGAAAGAGAAAAACGAAAAAGAGGGAGAATAGGAAAGAAAGGAAAAGAAAGAAAAGAAAGGAGGCAAGAGCCCTTTGCCCCTGTTTCCCTCTTTTCTTATTCTTTTTCCTCTTCTTTCTTTCCTTTTATATTTTCTTTCCCTCTCCCTTCTCTTTCCCTTTATGGTGGGAGGGGGGAGGGGGAGGTAAGAGCCTTTCGCCCTTCCCCCGTTTCCCTCTTTCCGTCTTCTTCTTCTTTCTTTCCTTTTATATTTTCTTTCCCTTTCCCTTTCCCTTCTCTCTATCTCTCTCTCTCTCTCTCTCCTATTTATTTGTTGGCGCGGGAGGGGGGAGGAGGCAAGAGCCCCTCTTTTCTTCTTATTCTTCTTCCTTTCCTTTTTTATTCTCTTTCCCTTTCCCTTCTCTCTCTCTCTCTCTTATTTATTTTTTGGGCGGGGGGATGCAAGAGCCCTTCGCCCCCGTTTTCCTCTTTTCTTCTTCTTCTTCCTCTTCTTTCTTTCCTTTTATCTTCTCTTTCCCTTTCCCTTTCCCTTCTCTCTCTATCTCTTATTTATTTTTTTGGCGGGGGGTGGGGAGGGAGGAGGCAAGAGCCCTTCGCCCTTCCCCCGTTTCCCTCTTTCCTTCTTATTCCTCTTCTTTCTTTCCTTTTATATTTTCTTTCCCTTTCCCTTCTCTCTCTTATTTATTTTTGGGGGGGGGGGGGGGGGAGGAGGCAAGAGCCCTTCGCCCTTCCCCTGTTTCCCTCTTATTCCTCTTCTTTCTTTCCCTTTCCCTTCTCTCTCTCTCTCTCTCTCTCTCTTATTTATTTTTTTGGCGGGGGGGGGGGGGGGGGGGGGGGGGAGGTAAGAGCCTTTCGCCCTTCCCCCGTTTCCCTCTTTCCTTCTTCCTCTTCTTTCTTTCCTTTTATATTTTTCTTTCCCTTTCCCTATCCCTTCTCTCTCTCCTTATTTATTTTTTGGCGGTGGGGGGGAGTGAGGAGGAGGCAAGAGCCCTTCGCCCCCCCCCCCCGTTTCCCTCTTTTCTTCTTCTTATTCTTTCTTTCTTTTATCTTCTCTTTCCCTTTCCCTTTTTTCCTTCTCTCTGTCTCCCCCAGTTAGGGCTGGTTTTGTTTACGAAGCGCCCGTCAGGAGAGTACACGATAGAGTACACGATAAAATTGACGATATCGTGAACTTTATATCGTGAACTTTTCACGATAAAATTCACGATATCGTCAATTTCATCGTGAAAAGTTCACGATAAAGTTCACGATATCGTCAATTTCGTGAATTTCTTCGTGAAAAATATGCGATAAAATTGGCGATATCGTGAATTTTATCGCATATTTTTCACGATTTAGTCTATTCGCGATGTCCCTTCAGGGCCACCATACTAACGTGTAACCAATTCAAACATAGTTTCATCTCGCACTTGATTATTTTTAATGCGTTTTGAAAAGTATAAATGTTCGCATTGAAGAAGGAAAAAAAAGAAGACATGGAATTGGTTTTCGTATTTAAGAAGGCAGTGTTCAAATGTCATTTTAAGCAATTGAGTCAATGACGGCGAATAGTAAAAATTGTCTTTATCATTGCGTTTTCGTGATGTTTGTTTGACAACTGTTCCTTTGTACTTCGATTGTAATTTGATTTGTAATAGTTCTCCGCCATATGGGCTTTTTGTTCATTTATTTCTACATGTTTTAAAAATTTACCCTGTTGAAAAAGGAAATAAAGTTATGAACTTAGATATAGATATCAATAAGTCTTGAGGGGTGCTTGTTTGCGTGGGCGTTCGTGTTCGAGTGAGTGTGTGTATCTGTTTTTAAGAATTATGTTCTTCAAGTAGACATATGAGAGCTGCCGTCATGATTGATATCATTTAAGTTAATAACATTGCAATAAATTGTTAAATGTCAGCCTAATAACCCTCATATATTGAATGAAGAAACTTAATGTCAATTAATCAATGGAAACTATTGAATTAGTTAAACACGTGGATACAAATATTGTGCCGTCTATAACAGAAATGAATCGGTTGTATGCGATCTACGATCACGAGATAGAAATTGATGCAATATAGCGTCTGACACGTATATTCAATTCAGATATTCAGAAAGTCTGCCAAACACTTCAAACTAGAGTAATTTTGATAAAAAGTCAAATATACTTGCTGAGAACATTTCAATTTCAATGAATATTTGATTTATTTACCTAGTACGTAATAAGTACGTACGATGATAGCCGAGATGTCACTCAGATCAGTTTTTTTGTCCAGTTATATCGAGACATATTATAGTTGAAGTAGAATTTTATTTTTGTCCTAAACAGAAGGAGAGAGAATGAAGAGAGAGAGGAGAAGAGATATTTAGAGAGAGAGAGAGACTGGGAGAAGAAGGTGACACGTGAGAGAGTGGATGAAGCCATAAGATGCCTCATGAGTAGTCCTTTGGAATTCCTGGACAGTCAGCTGGCACTGTATTTGCTGGCAGATTGTTGAATTCAGAGATAGAAGCAGGCGCGTACACAGGGGTACTTTGGTAATTTTCTGTGTGTAAACCCCCCCCCCCATAACCCCCCTAACCCCCCCCCCCCCCCTTTGGATTTTCTTTTATTTTATTTTTTTAATTTATTTTTTATTAAAAAAAAAATTATAAAAAAAAAAAAATTATTCCCATGGCTGACCTAAAAGGGTGACCTTACCCCCCCCCAGGGAGCAAAATGTCAAATTTACAAATTTCGAGACCCCCCCCCCCCCCAAAAAAAAAATAAAAAAATAAATAAAAATAAAAATAAAAAATAAAAAATAAAAAATAAAAAGTGACCTCTTACCTCTTAAAATTCGCTTAACATTCTATTCCATAGAGGGCACACGTAGCTATAAGTATAACAGTGGAGATTTAAAAGGTGCTGTATTTCAAAGCCAAAAATACTTTCTGTGTTGGTTTTGATATTCATTGTACATTAAACTAGTCTTTTACCATATTAAAGTGTTTTTATTGACTTCGTTCGTTTAAATGCTTGACCTTCCATGATTTTTTTTATTTTTTTATGGAAAAATATGTATTTTAAAAAAAATATTACAAAAATAAAAAAAAAATAAAAAAAATCCGCCCGCCCGCCCCTACTCCAGAAAAGAAATCGAGGACAACCAAATGATTTCTTTTTTTGGTCTTAGGGAGTACAGTGCTAATTAGGTAAATACTGATGAGGTTACCTATGAGTTAAATGATACCAAGGTACCCGTATTACGTTTTTGTTTGGCAGCTTGTCTTTTGTCAAAATTAACTTTGATGGGCAATCTAAAACTATGATGTTGATCTG